TGCTTGGGAAGCGCGCGGAGCTCTTCTTCATATCTATTCTTCTTGTCCAGAAGCGCCTGGTAGGACCGCTCATCCCATTGTTGCTCGCTTGAATCGTCGTCACGGTCAAGCTCACCACCCGTCTGAGTACCGCCTTTGCCGATTACACGACCGTCCAGGGTGACTGCCTTGACTTCGATGCGTCTTGTGTACCTGAGCTCTTTCGCGAGCTTCTCTGTGTTACAGATCATGGTGTTGCCACATGCCGCAGTCATAGCGCGCTCGTGCTTGGGCTCATAGTTGATACAGTCGATAGCAAGTCGCATGCCTTCGTGCATACCCTTCAGTTGGGGGTCTACCGCCTGAATCTGGATGGAGTCTAGTGGGTTGAAAGACATGACACCAATACGTTCTGCCTTCAGGTATTCGATGCATGACTTGGCGGTGGTTTCGGTGTCGACAATGACAGTATCCATCTGGTGTCCGAGCACTCGTCCAATAGCCTTGCGGTATTTCTGCATCTTGGGGGTGATGAGATCCTTGTATCGGCCGTGCACTTTCTCAGATCCAAAGCGAGTCTTCAAGCGATCGATAGTTCTGCGAGCCTCCTGTTGCTTCCTTGACTCTCGACGGCTGCCTTCGACGATGCTGAGTTGCTTCAGAACTTCCTGCAGCAACTGGTTCTTCTCGTAGTATTGCATCTCGATCTGCTTTCGGTCGGCGCGGAGTCTGTCCAGCTCCTGCTGTTTGGCGGCTCTTGCGCTTTTCAGATCCTTGACTTGCGTCTTGGAAGCCTTTAGGCGCTCCTCGAGCTGGCTGATGTCTGCATTCAGCCTCTCGACAGCCTTCTCGTGGTTGTCGACGCTCTGCTGGAGGTTCTTGACATGGTCCCGGTCGGTCTCGACTTCGCGCTTGAGCTTGTCTATCTGCATCTGGTCTCCGTGGGTCCGCTTCGTAACGTCGCTGCGTAGCCGGCCGTATTCTTGGAGGTCCTGCTCGGAAAGCTCGCGGCCCTGGTTCTGGGCAGCCGCCTTGAAGTCATCCTCCCACTTCTTCTCGGCCTTTTGGACCAGATCGAGGTCCTTCTGGCACTTCTCGACAGCTTTCTTCTCAGCGTCGCGCTTCTTCCGGAGCTCGTCGAGTCTGCTCTCGTATTTTCGGCGGGTCTCGTTGGAAAGACGGATCTTCTCTTCGATAGGCGCGAGCTCGTTGGAGGCGTCCTCGATCTCCTTCTCCTTGGCCTTGGTGTTCCGGTCAGTCTTGGTCAGATCTCGCCTGATCTTAGCCTCGGCCTGCCTCTCCGCCTCGTGCCGTTGGTGGTACTTCTCGACGCTGCGCTTGTGTTCCTTGAGCTCTTCCTGGTGGCTGGCGATCTTGTTCCGCGCCTTCTCCATAATCTGCTGGTCCAGGTAGAGCTTCCACAGGTTCTTTGTGACAACAGCTTCGTCGCGCTCGGCGAGCTTCTTCTCGTATTCGTCGGCCTCGGCCTTTTGCTCCTGATATGTCTTGAGCTCTCCGTTGATGCCGCGACGCTCGTGCAGATGTTTCGCGTTGTCTTCGGTGGCGTTCTCGGACTCCTCCTTCAGGCGGTCGTATTCGGCCTTTTGCTCGAGACTGCCAGAGATGCGCTCGACCTGTAGTGTCAGCTGCTCGGGCGCGGTCGTCGCCAGCTTCTCCACGTCTCCCTGGAAGACGAGGAAATTGCGCGCTTTGACCAAGATGCTGTGCTCCTCCAGCGCCTCGCCGTACTGCTTCTGAGTGACGATGCGATTGTTGATTCGGTACTCGCTGGAGCCGGAGCTAGTGATGGCGCGCTGCCACTCGTGCGTCTGCTCAGCGTCGTCCTCGAAGACGGCCTTGACCCAGGCGTTCTGGGGGTCGTTGCGCTGTGAGCTGGTTTGCGAGTCGCCATTGTCCTGTGTGTCGCCATTGGACTGGCCGTTCGCGTCGCCATTTGCATCGCCGTCGGCTTCGGTTACGGTGCCATCGGCGTTGATTCTCGCTTCCTGGATAATCCTGCCGCGGTAGACCATGTCCTTCAACTTCTCGGAGCGCAGATGGGACGACCGGACGCCCAGGACGAAGGAGATGGCGTCCATGCTGTTCGACTTGCCCGAGCCATTGGGACCGATGATGGAGGTGAAGTACGAGTCGCCGAAGAGGAGCGTGTGGCGTCCGCGGTACGACTTGAAGTCTGCGCATGTTTAGTCTGTGGATGCGAGCAATTGCGCGTCGGGGGGCCTACTGTAGATCTCGAGCCGCACGAGCTTTCCCATGATGGCGGTGGGGATGCGCGACACCTAAACTGGTGAGTGCGCGGTGGGAGGGTCGTGTTGGGCGGGTTTGGAGTCGCGGGGTGGGCTGCCCGTGATAATCGTCGTGTTGTCGCGCGTAGTCGCGTTGACGGCCAAAGCGCGCTAGTGGCTCGACGTGCATGGTGGCCCGCAGTGACGAAAGCGTGGCCGCACGCAGGGGAGCTCTACACCGGCCCTGCTTGTCTGTCTACCTACATTTTCCTATATTCGCTGCAGTCTCGGGCAACCTGCGCCGTCTTTCTGAGCCCTCTATCCACCTCGCCGCCCCTCGTGACCTCTTCGACCTCGCATGCCACGGGTGCCTGCGATGACGTTGTGAAGCTTGCCAATCACCAGCTTGCATTCACCCACGACCTCTCCCCCAGAAGCCCCGAAGTTCTGAGAGGAGCACGATTCTCGACCCCCGCACATCACTCGCCTTGTCATGAGAGCATAGGGTCTGACCAGATCTGATCTAAGCCGCCCCTTCCCACTGTACGCTCTCTTCTATGATATACCGCCTCTGCCCTAAACATGGACCGGGGGCACTCCCAGCGATATACAGCAGCTAACAGGCATGACGGCTGCAGGTTTACCCCCGCGTCCCTTCAAGAGACCCCTCCACCGCCGAACCCCCTCTAGCCTCGAAATCGTCCAAGAGGAACTGCCCACCATGGCGACCCCCGAAGATGCAGACATAGGCGGTATCCCCAAATCCAGGTCGGAACCGCAGCTGGGAGTCTCTGAGCTTTCGGCCCGTCCGACTCCAGGCGACTCTACGCTGCTGGATGAGCCTGTATCCTCCGCAAACCAGCCACTTTCCACACCTGGTCTCTCACGCTCTGCCTCGTTCTCCAACAGCTCCTACCACGATGACTCCGACGTCGAAGATGCCGCCTTCTTCCCGCCCGTCGAGAAGCTCACCATGTTCGACTTTGTCGAGAACCTCGCCCTGTCGCAGCGAATCGAGAAGATCCAGAGCTCCATCGCCTCCCAGACCGAGAAGATCAAGAACCAGGCCAAGAACCGGGGTATCACAAAAGACCGCGTTGTGGAAGAATGGCGGCGCAGAGTGCCATCGGAAGCAGAGCAGCTTGAGAAGTACAAGAGACGCATGCGCCATTCGGTCGACCGCCTGAACCGCCGCTGGAACGAGTCGCTCACCGTCACTGCGCGCGAAAAGGCCTCCTTTATCGCCGCCGTCATGAACATCTTCGTCTCGGGATACTTGGTGGGCTGCCACCCCGACCTGTTCCCACACTGGTACACGGCTCAGTTGCTCTACTTCATGCCCATCCGCTTCATGACCTACCACAAGAAGGGCTACCACTACTTCCTGGCCGATCTGTGCTACTTCGTCAACATACTCCTGGTTCTGAGTGTATGGGTTTTCCCGCAGTCTAAGCGCCTGTTCATCGCGACATACTGCCTCTGTATGGGAAACAATGCCGTCGCTATTGTCATGTGGCGTAACTCGCTAGTCTTCCACAGCATGGACAAGGTCGTCAGGTAAGGAGCGCATTCCTCTAACATTAACCACCTACTAATCTGCCTAGTCTCTTCATCCACATTATGCCCTGCGTCACGCTGCACTGCCTCGTTCATTTGCTGCCCCCGGAATACCAGCAAGAGAAATATCCCGCCATCTACGACATCCGCCACTCCGACCCAACCTCGCCTCACCACTACAACCTACTGCAAATGATGGTCTGGGCCACTTGTCCATATGCTGTCTGGCAGGTCGCCTACCACCTCCTCATCACAGTACGTCGCCGCGATAAGATTGCCGCAGGCCGACCTACTAGCTTCACATGGTTGCGCAAGTCGTACGCCAAAACCTGGATCGGCAAGATAGTCCTCTCGCTGCCCGACTTCATGCAAGAGCCTGCCTTCATGTTCATTCAATACAGCTATGCTGTCGTCACCATGCTACCCTGCCCCGTCTGGTTTTGGTACCGCTGGCCGAGTGGTTTGTTCCTCACCGTTGTCTTCATCTGGAGTGTCTACAACGGCGCAACCTTTTACATCGACGTCTTCGGCAACCGCTTCCAGAAGGAGCTGGAACAACTGAAGAAGGACATGGCAAAGTGGCAGGCGTCGCCTGAAGGCGGTTTCACGCCCTTTACGCCAATGGAAGGAGGCAACGAGAAGCAACTAGGTTACATTCCTCCTCTCGAAGGCAGCACAAGCGTCAAGCCTGTGGATGGAGAGACAAGAGAGAGAAAGTAGCTTGCTAACAGGCCTTTTTATTAACAGATTCACGACGACCATGTAACTGCGCAACTCCTGTTTTACGTACCGTCTACACGATTCCAGAATGAGACGATCTAGGCGTTTGATTTGCTCCAAGTAGTTTGCTTTCTGTACTTGCGTTTGAGGGTTGCATCTGCGCGCGTTTGATTTGTCGCATTGCCTAGACTGGTTGGTTGGTTGATATACCCCCTTTCCTTCGCTAAGTCTTGTCATTCTCGATTATAGCTTACTCCTAATACTCAAGCTTCTATCAATAATTTGGTCCGATATTTCACAACATCTTTATATACGCTACTACCGTCCTTCTTTGTACCAAACATATACTAACAACACAGCATCCATTTGGCTATCTATACAGGATTATTGTATCTTGTCCCATTCCACCAGAATATCTCGTTCTTGACAGCCTAGGTATTCTATTCGTCTCGCCAGCAATGGTGTCCGTACTCGAAAGCTCGATCCCCACACGCGCCTTCAGTCTTTGAGATACGTACAAAGACCGTTGCAATGGTCAAAGTCGCAATGGTGGTACTCTTCCGCAGCGGGTGGAGGCGAAGGACGAGGCTCTTGCTCTTCACCCCTTGTCTCACCGCGGTGTCCACGCTGGTCTTCAAGTCGCCGAACTAGAGCTTGGAACGTATTCCAGGTCTCTTCTCGTCCCCGTCTCTCTCTCTCTACATCACTGCTCAATCCGAGTGCGTGCCGCCGCATGGTTCGCATAGTGTATTGGAATGCTTCGCGGATTTCCCGGGCGTGCTGGGTTGCTACTATGGCCGCTGCGGTTGCGGCTACGGCCTGTTCTGCGGCTTGGTCTGCTAGTTGGGATTGAGCTTGGGCATAAGCGTGAGCTTGAGCCGCTATCGCAGCTTGTGCTTGAGCGTTTCTCGCAGCTTGGGCTTGGGCACGTGCCGCGGTTTGGGCTTCGGCTTCGGCTTCTCGTGTCTGTTTCTTTGCAATAGCGGCGTTGATGGTGTTGGTCGTGGCATCCTCGATGGAGGTTTGGAGGCGGGATGGTGATGGCATGTTTGGTGTGCTGCTTTCTTGCTTTGAGTGGGTGGATGTTATTGGGGTTGCGTAGGGCGACATCTAGTACAGGAAGTATTTCTCCATTCTTTTATCTGCTCGAGGAGCACCAGATGCTGTTCACCATCTACAATCCATCCGAAAGAGGCTGACACTCCTTTCACAACACACGTTCCCGCCTGCGAAAAGCTGACTCACCGAGCTGTCCCCCATATTCCACCGCATTTCACCTCCTCAACCTCGACCTCGACCCCCAATCTAGTGAAAGTACTTCCAAGTCACCCCCCTCGTTACCGCCCACCCCTGATCCAGCGCCTTCACAACTCCCTCACCCAACGGCCCCTTCTCAAAGTCCTTGAGATTCATCTCCAACTGCTCCTTACTACTCGCCCCAATGATAACCTTGTCTCCAAACTCTTTCTTCAGCTGACTATGGTGCATCATCCACCGAAGCGCCGTCTCACTCTCCGTCTGCTCTTCAGGTAATTCAGACCGCAGGCTCTCGATCGCAGTGAAGAACTCGTCGTTCCAGTAGCGCGCGCGGTACATCTTGCCTTGCATACCTGTGAAACATAGATGTCAGCTCTAAATCACCCTCAATCCTTGTAGGATATAAATTGATGCAGGGTATCGACTTACGGTTCGCATCAAACCGACTCCCGGCTTCAAGAGCTTCATTCTGCGTCTCGCGCTTGTACCGTGAGGTCAACCACCCCCCTGCCAACGGATTGAACGCGTAGAATGACATGTTGTATTTGCGCAGACAAGGGAGCAGTTCGTGTTCGATGCTGCGGTGGAGGGCGTTGTATACGCCTTGGTATACACTCGGTAATTGGTATCCGTTTGCTTTGCAAATCTCGCAGATGGCAGCAACTGTGACGGACTGTTAGCATGGTATCTGATATTGAGAAACAAGGCAGGGTTGCAAGGGACAGGACGCATGTATCCAGTGGACTATACATACCCTCCCAAGCCATGAAATTACTAACACCCCACCTCTTAAACTTCTTCCCCTCACCACCCTCCTTGAACAGCTCATGTACCGCCCTCGCCGTCTCCTCAAGCGGTACACTCCGATCCGGCGCATGCAGATACCACAGATCCACGCCTTCCGCCCCCAGCGCAGTGAGACTCTCCTCCAAACTCCTGCCCATATCCTCCTTCGTAGAGTGCGTAGGTGTACGACTGAAAAGCCCATGGACGTTGGGGAAGAACTTCGTGTCCATCACTAGACCGCGCTTCTGCCAGGAAAGTTTGGCAAGGTATTCTTCGGATGTGCCGTCCTGGCTTTGTTAGTTCGGTGGGGAGAAGAGGGCGAGAGGGAATGAGTGTGCGTACGCCATAGAAACGACTCGTGTCTACTTCACTGTGGCCGTACGATTGGAAGGTATCGAGGATAGCTGCGCAGTCGTTTAGGTTCGAAGTGCGGACTTGTTCTTCGCCTTCGCGGCCGAAGGTCATGCAGCCGAAAACGATGTCGAGGGGGGTTTTGGATGACATGGTTGGTAAGATGGTCAAGTATTCCGGTTGTGACGATCTCGATTCTGGGTACATGGATATTTTGGGTGTTTGGGTTACTTATACTTCTGGCAACGACATCATTACACATCTTCCATGTGGAGCTGTGGAGATAAGTGGTCATGATATGCAGGGTCTTGGCGGAGTTTGACGGAGTTAACGCGGGTTACAACTCGGGACTGGACGTAAGACTATACGATGTTGATCGGCAATGCGTCCTTTTCAAACTCGACGCTTGATGCAAGCTTGTAGAACTATCGTGGCTGTAGGGCTTACTTGACGTTTTGGGACGGAATCAGTATTGGGTGATCGACCGCGCGTTAAGGTGTAAGGTAGATTTTCGTGAACATGCTGACAAAAGGTTGAGATGGAGAAGAACTAGGCATGTGGTAGTCGTTCACTTGTGGACATTAGATATGGCATTGGTAAAGCTACATCAGCCATGAGGACACCAGTCACGGCCCACTCTTCGCTCTCCATCCTTCCCGTTACAAAGCTTGTTTCCAAAGCTTACCGCGACCCAGCATTGGTAGGATACTGATACGTAACCGGCTCACCTTTGATATCATTCTCCTCCCTCCACTGTAGCCGATCAATTTCACTGACGCCAGGCCCTCTATAAACACTTCCATAAAGCCCACTCGCCCAATCCTTACCAGGCCCCTCCTTCGTCTCCTTTGTCGCCTTACGACTATACCACTTTCCATACGCCAACAGGTAATACAACCTAAAGCTCAAGAAAGCAAACTTGTCGCGCTCGAGATCAGCAGGGTACTGTGCACCGAGATCAACAGCGGCGGCGATACCGCTCATGACAGCGACTTCGTGGGCGTTGATGAGTGTCCATGCTGCGGCGAAGCGAGTGTGTTTTCGTCCTTGGAGTAGCCACATCCACGGTACTACGAAGACATAATGGGTCCAGGAGTGGCAGAGCTGGTGCCACCAGTCCTTGCGGATGATCTTGTCCTTGTTGATCTCGTCAATGCTCCATAGATGGCCGTCGCGCGCCTTGTTGAGGTAGATTGTTTGGAAAATGTGCTTGTCGAAGGGGACGTCCGGTGGGAATTGACTTTGGTAGTTTGTGCAGTCGAAGCACATTTCCAGTTTTGATCGGTCTTGCGGGTACATCTTGATGTAGTACATGGGCTTGAAGTTCTTCTCGGCGTATTGGTTGCGGGCTGTTTGGTCGGCGCCGGAGAGCTCTTTCGCGGACTTTTCTGGGTCGTAGAAGTTTTCGTAGTGCTTGTGCATGTAGTCGCTGTCCCAGTGGGTGACGGTGATGTCGTCGGAGAATTTGGCGGAGCCGAGGACTTTCTTCTCGCGGAAGGAGGCGGTGGGTTCTAGGATACGCTTTGCCGTGTCGGCAAGTACGCAGAGAATGATTTCGTCATAGTGCTCTTCCTTTTCTTGCGCGTCCGCATCGGCGTTGTGCTCGTCGTCGTAGGGTACGTGGACACTGTTGGGGTTGTGCGAATCAGGCATGGGCGTACGCTTGATCAACCTAACAGTAACACCAGTTTTGTCTCGCTTCACAATCCGAGTTATCTCCGTCGACAGCCTGACATTGACACCTCTCTTGAGTAAATCCTGCCTCCAGCGCTCGTAAAATTCGCTGAACTTTGGGAAAACAACCATAGGTGGCAGATTGCTAGCAATGCTTCGTTTGTCTACCGGATACCACATGCCGTACGTTGGACTAGTGCAGAGTCGTTCTAGGATGATGCTGGGTACATTTGGCGTCTCGTTTCCAGTTCCTAGGAAAAGTGCAATCATGGGCATGGCGACAGTGTTGGTGAACTCTTCGGAAAACCAGAACATTTTGAATAGAATCTTGATCGGGATCAATGCGAAGAAAATCTCGAACCAACGGACAATCTTGATCATGGTATGGAACCTGCGAATTTCATTCTGATGGCGCGCAAGAAGCTCTGTGGGGAAGACGTTGGTCCAGAAGATGTCGTCTTTGCCGAAGGAAACTTGGAGGTTGACCGGATCTGCGTGGTGGCCTTGTCTTGCGAACATTGTCATGGTGTGGTGGAAGATGTAGCTTCCACCTTGAACACCTTGGTTCAGCCATTCGGCGCCATGGCGCTCCTTGTCGACTCCAATGGAAAAAGCCTGGCCACCACAGTAATCTACTGCGTCGATGAGGGTAACATCGAATTTGTCAGGGTGTTCGGAAAGATGGTGAGCACACGACATTCCTGCCTCAAATCAACAACGATGCATGTCAATACACGCGTTCAACATACCAGCCGCTCCAGCTCCCACGACCAGCACCTTCTTCTTTCCATCCTTGTTGCCGCCTGCCATATTCGTGGTGGGCAGAATAGGCGTTCTGTCGTTTGAATGTGGCATCGAAGAAAAGGCTCAGCACTTATGCGGCGCGCTGCAGGAGCGCAAGCTACTGCGGGCCTGTATTTGTCTGCAGCTGTCACGACATCAACCTCGAACAAATGCGTCATGAAATCTGAAAGCGGCATGGTCCGATCTTGACTGGCTGCGGCTATCGGTCGATCGTGCATCGCCAAGCGCTCACCAAACTTCAACACCACGCTAGATGATGATGTCATCCAAATTTGCGAATTAATTCATGACGGCAATATAGGTATCTTGGTGCAATTTCCCTGGTTCCCAACGCGTGACCTCGTGCCTATAGCGTGTGCATTCCCTTTAGCGCCCTGTCTGTCCAATCGTCCACCACGTCGCCTGTCTGATCGCCCGTGTTTTCAGAACGCGACGGAGGATCCATGATGGGGAATGACCCTGGATGTGTCGCCTGACTCAGGTCGAAGAAGTCTAATCCCAAATCGGCAGTCGCGTCTGTATACCAATCATTCCCTATATCGAGTATGTCGGCATTGTCCGTTCTTTCCTCGGCCGCCATGTCTACCACACTGTCCAGAGGCCCCTCCTCTGGCACATCCGGTACTGTTGGCGAATCGTTATCCTGAGTAACACCAGTTATTGTGGCGAATTGCAGCGCAATCCGGCCAAGGGTCTTGTACGTAGGTGCGAGCTTCTGCATTCCGCGGACCTGGTCGAGCACAGTGCGCACTGTCGCTTTACGTTCGACGTCTTTCGGTGAATCGGTTTGGCCCTTGGGCCGTGCAAGAAAATCTGCGCATACGATTAACACGGCGTGGAATACGAAGAAGAAGTCAAGCCAGGAGTAACCGATAATCTCGAATATCCCCAGCTCGATGCCGATGGTGATGCATTGGAGGCTTTTGTGTACTGATTCGACACAGTCCTCCGCCAGGATTAGGGTTGTAGACCAGTCTTCTGAAATTGGAGGCGCTTTGTTCTCCAGGAAGCAGACGTTGCTCTCGACCTTTTGTATGAGAAAGTCTCGGGAGATGACACAACGCGTGTAGTAATAGTAGACGTGTAGCAATAATGTCATTGCTTTCAGATCTGGGTGCCCTGGCATGTCTTCTATTGACATGTGCTGAGGTATCTTTGCGAAGAAGTTGTCGCACTCCCGTAGTAGGGCCATGGCGACAGCGATGGTCGGGGACCGTTCCTCGGCAGAAGTTTTGTCGAAATAGGCACGTTGTCGAATGCGGTACGATGTGGACACCAGGTCGGAACAGAGATTCATGAATGCTGCGTTGATGCGCGTTTGCTCTAGCATTGGTGCGTCTGGGACTTTCATCGACATCTCTCGGTCATCAATCACTGTTGGGCGGCCCAATATGCCACACAGTGTCTTTTCGAATATGTAGAGGGACCACCAGACTTGTCGGCGCGTATTACATTCGATGGGTTCGAATTGGACGTTCGTGCTGTCTCGATGCATTCCCATGGTAATGGCCTGATATGTGTTAGCAGAGCATGGGTGTCCTGTAAAGTATACAACGTACCATACGTGCAGCAAGACCTATCAGTAGCCACGAGCTGCTCTTCTGCCCGATATTATGGTGATGCATGTTGAGAAGAACGAGCGCTTGGACATTGTCCAGACGAGTCGATGTCAGAAGCGTCCGAAAGTAGGTTTTGGCGAAGGCGAGAAACTTGGGGCGAAGTACATTCATTTGGTCGACATCATTTGCTTTTGATTTCTGGCAGCCAAACGACAACACCAAGGCCAAGGAAACTAGCCACCCCATGTCCTTGCACTCTTCGAACAACTGCGTCTTCCGTGAGTACGTAGCCTCCAGCCGGATCTGAAACGTGGTTCTATTGAAAAGGGGAAAGTACACATGTATGTGATCGAAGTAGACTGCTACTAGAGCGTCGGCGATATGCTTTGCGGGTATCAGATCACCAATAGTATCTAGACGTGATGAGTGATCATGATGTTGCGACGGATCGTTTGATGCCTCCCACTCTGTCCTAGATCTCTTGCGGCTGCCATGGCTAGAACCTGGACGCTGGCTGTATGAGGGTGGAGCAAATTCATCCTCCGAAGGATTCGTGCTGCTGCGTTTGAGAGCTGAGCCCGATCGGCTCGAGGGGTTTGAGGTGAATGATCTGAGGCCAGGAAAGTCGGCGCCTGATACGGCCTTCCATCGGGACGCGAGGGTGCGGATAGTCGATGCAAGTCGGAAACTACTCGACGGCCCGAAATAATGTGAGGCACCCCGATTTGTACGAACGATCTCGTCAGTCTGGGAAGATACTTGTTGCGTTATGGGCTGACGAAGACGTTCTTTGCTTGTGGACAAGGCAGTAGTGCGCCGAGCAGAGTGCAGGGGATACGTGGTAGTGTGCGAGCCCAAGTAGGCAGACTGAGCAACTGGCGATGGCTGCAATGAGTGTTGCTGTTGTTGTTGCTGTTCCAGCGAGGAAGTCTGTCTATCGCTACTGCTACTGCTGAAGATGTCTGCGGGAGTAAAGTCGTCGCTCGCGGGCATAGCAATGTTCCTGGTCGTGGCGATCTTGAACAGGGTCTCTGTGTCCTGAACATTCTCATCCGGAAAGAGGCCTTTGACTAGCGACTCAAGGGCTCTGTAGCGTAAGCTGAGGGTCTCCACACTGCCATAGACCCTCTGTTTACGTGGAAGCTTCGATTCACACACCACGCCATTTGCCTTGCAGTCCGCACATGGCACCTCGGCATTTTCGCGTATGCACCGTGCCCGTCGGATTTTGCAGCGGTCGCAGCTCACGAGGGCTCGCTTTCGTGATGACCCTGATTTGGCCGGGCGTTCGGCCATGGCGTCGACTTCGTCGCGAACAAGATCGGAAAGTGTAGCGGGCGTATTGACGCGCTGGAGATTGTGGAGTTCCGAGATGCGAAGATCGTATGATCACGTCGTCGCGCCCGCTGACAGCAGACCGTGGCCCTCATGCCGCTGACCAGGCCATCGGAGTTGCTTCCGTACCAAAGTTAACGCGCGTCACAATAAGGTTTACCTGAGCGCGACCCAACTGGAGGGATCTTCTTTCGTGCTTATTAGAACTATCCCCTCATGCGTTCATTATTTATGCCGTGGTCTTGCCCGACCTCACTGCGCTAGTCTAGATACACTGGAATCCCGTATACAACTGCAGCAGCCCCGTTCAGGTACTTCAGGTAGCAGGCCTTTCTCGCATCCCGCACTGCCTCGTCTAATCCAACGCCCTTCTGCGACACCCGACCCGCGTTGGAACGATCATCCACCAATCTGGCGGACTTCTTTCCCTTCTTTGCACTGTCTACGCTTCTTGCAATCTCTACCTCCTCGGCCAATTGCGCAACTCGACCCTTGCCCTTCGCCTTCTTCGCGGGCGTTTTCGCGGGCGTTTTGGATGGTGGCGAATCTTCCTGTGCCTCAGGCCATAGTCCCCATAGTTCGCCCGCTTTGACGGCAAACCGATCGCAATCCTTGTCAGTGACATCCCACAGCATGCCAAGTACTGCTGGAGCGCCCGCAGTAAGATATGCCGCAAGCATACCCGAAGGCTCGAAAATGCCGTTTTCAGTGAGATGTACAGACGAACAACCGAAGAGGAGAGTGGTCGCACAGCCAGGTTTTCTGTCCCCTTCATCTTGCTCGCCGGGATAGAGACGTCGCACTGATTTTGACTTGACGTACTGTGCACCGCTGCCGTGACCGAAATACAACACCAAATCCTTCTCACGCAGTGCATCTTCGAATTCCTTCTCGGACGGTGCGCGGTTGGCGACATGGTTCCAGGGGCCTGCAAGCTCGTCTAGATGGGGTTTGATGGTTTTCGAAGTATGGGACAAGTCTCCGGATGGGTTCAGCATGCTTGTACCTCCCGTACTTGTGGCTATGTAATGTCCTGGAGCAGCGTTCTGCTGAGTTGTGGATGACCGTGCCGAAAGTATTCGTTCGCGAAGGGCAGCAAGGGAAGGTAGTCGCGAGATAGAAAGCGGCTCCAGGCAAGGCAGCGACTCCCAGGGGAACGCATGTAAGTTGTTGTCTAAGATGAGGATCGTGTGACGAGTACCAGCGTCAAGCTTGTGGGACGCGCTGTGATAGGCGCGTAGTGCTTCATACGTCTCCACGACCATGGCATCGAAATCGAGCTCGTCATAGGCATTGCGCTCGCCGTTGAACTGGAGGATGTCCACAACGAAGTATATGAGATCCATGAGCGCTTCGTCCAAGTCAAGATCCTCATTGGTAGCGTCGCCCAGCCCAATGAACAATTCCAATACTCGTGTATCCAACACTGGTCGCTTTTGAGTGCTCTTCTTCTTACGGGAAGGCAGGTGCTCGTTGAGTATGTCTTCCAAAGCCTTTCGAAATTTAGAAAGGAGAGCTGGCTGACGCTCATGCTGAGAGAAGATGCCCTTGAAGCCACCCAGCCAGATATTTTCCATGTTGATAAGAAGCTCACGAAGTCGGGTGTCCAGAGCTTCACGTTCAGCCCACCACTGGTGTCTTGCTTCCCTCGAGGTCATGTCCTTGGCAGATCGCGTACTGAAATCACTGAGCTCAATGATCTCATCAAAATCGCTCTTGCCGTCCTCAAACGAGAACTCTTCCTCGTCCATCTCGCGCGAAGCGTGGCGAGCCAACGGTAGGCGCAACACGAAAGGAGACAAGCCACGCTCAAACCGGGTGATGAATAGCTCATCGCGGGCCTCACTAAGTGCCAGAGATACAGCAGACCAAGTTTCCGGAATGATGTCAACATACTCCTTCTGAAAGCTGGACACTGAGCTGAAGGCGAAATGCGATGAATCAGTGGCTGGCCATCGCAGGCAGTCATCGCGCGACAGTTGTTGTTTTTCTGCCTCTGTTGATTCTTGCACGAGGCGCAAGGCGTTGACTTTAGGGAGCTCTGAGTGTTGTCAGTATAATGTTCGCCACGTGCTGCGTTTTACATACCACTCATGTAGGCTGCGTATAATGGGTGGAGGGAGCCCGGTAGCTCGGTCCCAGAAACGGCGGACATCAAAACGGTGACATGGCCTAGAGCCATGGAGGTTTGGCGGAACAGGTGATTAGATCCATTGGTAGCACACAGGCTGTGTGCTTCAACGAGTCGTGCACGTGCTTCGCGAAGCGTATCCATGAAGTCCACCTTGGCTTGCTTCTTCGCTCGACCAGTCTTAGTAGTTGCTGAAGATCCCACAGTTGCCTTCTTGGTGGTGGTTGCGTCCGAGAGTCTTCGTTCTTTGAGACCAAACGCAGGAAAAGCGATGGTCGATTCTGGCAGAGTGTTCACCGTGAAGTCTTCAGCAATCTGCTTCGCACTTTGCGCAAGCTTTGCTTTGAAGATAGCCCACATGTGCGACACTTCTTGGCTCAGCCCGGCCTGAAGCTGCTCTGCCTCATCAAGAATGCTCAGGGCTTTATCGAGATCATCGTGAAGAAGGCTAGCAAGGACAGCTCGGTCTCTCATGCTCGCCTGAAAAGCGCACAGCGCAGAACACTGTTCGGCGATACTGGAAGCTTCGGGTACTACGACCTTCCCTGTTTGACGCTTGGTCGTTGTGACGGCCTTCGCAGTTGCCCCTGTGGCCTTGGCCCGAGCACCAGCGGTTGTTCTCGCAGCCGGTTTTGGTGCAGATTTGGCTGCGGGTTTACGGCCTCTGGTGGCTGGTTTCGCCTTGACACTCTCCGTAGTCTCTAGAGTCATAGAAGAGACCTGATCAGCAAGCGCATCGACCGAGGGTGACGAAGTCTCCAACGTCTTGATGTACGAGGGTGAGCTTAGCTCCTGGAGAAGCTTCTCCATGAGGTCATAAGACTGGATCTCTTGCTCGTATTGACCGTTCCAGTGGTGCATTCTGGCTACAGCTGAATGGTAACCTGCAGTAGACAAGCATTTGCGGGATGTATCGGGGCTTAGAGCATTGAAAATTGTCTCAGCCTTGTCGGGTCTACCGCTCTGGGCCCAACAGTCAGCGCGCCAACTAGCGTTGTCCGTGATGAGAGTTGCAGATCCTGTAGCCATAGCGACCTTTTCAGCCTGTTCAGCGACATGAATAGCTTCGTGTAACAGGCCTTGATGGGCGAAGATCTGGGACTGTTGCATCAAGGCTCGGTACAAAGCGGGGACCAAGGACCAGAAGTCAGGCCCGTTGAGAGCATCATGCGTTACAGACATGACAAGAGGCGCAATAGGTTCTTTGCTGTCCGCGGTTGTCGTTTTCTTCGCATTGGCCCGTGATTCGAGGGCGGCCCAGATGCGACGATTGACTGTGACGCACTGCCTTGCATGCTGAGCCGCTGCCTTGTACGAGCCAGTAGCCGAGGCGAGAAGCGACTGAACATAGGATGCAGCCGCCACGATCTTGTTGAACCGTAATCGACCGGAGAGGGTTGTCGTTGACTTTGCGAGATCCATGAATTGTCGATCGTTGAGTGCCAGAGATTGTGCGTTCGTCATAGTAGTCAGACTGCCCAGTGTTAGTATAATTCCGTCAAGACACTGCTCCACATACCATTTGGTGGTATTTCCGATACCCACAAGGTACTCGGCATACGCCATATGCCATTGCAATCTGACCTCTACAGAGGGACCATGGCGTTCGATCGACGCCTCAGCCTTGGCCAGGGATAAACCCGCCTTGCCGGTATAACCAAGGTGGAGAAATTGCAGACCGAGGGCACACAGCGTGGTTATTAGCTCGGATGCATCAGAGTCGTTCCGTAGCTCTAAAACCCTGACCAAAAGATGCAGGAGTGGCAGAGCAACGTACTCCTCTCCTTTCGCGTTGAGGAATTCAAGACATGCTTGGAGGTCTTGCAACCAGGTCTCCGTATTGTCGACCCGATCTGTGAGTGCTTCCCATGAGGACGTAGAGCTGACGAGAGACTCCCACGCCGCAAAGCACTGCTTGAAGGTTTCTGTGGGAGGAGAAGCCTGCTGCATCAAAGTCTTGAGATCACGATGCGCTTTTAGATGAGCTTCATGGTGTTTGATTCCTACGTCTTCACCACTTGCTGTCCGCACGCTGTTGTCGTCTGTGGCATCAAGTGTAGTCAGGTGCTGAGGCAAGATCTGCGGGTCCTGTTGGAGGAGTTGAAGAAGTGTGACAGAGAGCCTCAGATGTCGGATCGGAAAGGTTCCTGGTACGTAAAGCTGTTGCAGTCGTTCCACAAGGGTACATATCGATTTGTTGAGGTTGGAGTCCCACTGTCGATTCTTGGCCAACGTTCGTAGGTAGAGACCAAGCTGTAGCTCCAAGATGGCTCCTCTCGTTCCAGGTTCCAAATCTTCCTGGTCGTAGAAGGCTAGCTCATCTGGTACTTGGGGTCCAAATCTAATGAATGAATGATGGAGCGTTTTCAACACCCGGACGAGAGCGCCGAAAGATCCCTCAGTGCTGAAAACCTTGTGCAGGGATGATGTAGATGTCTCCTTGGAAAGTTGCTGCAACGCATCGACGGTAAGGTGATTTCGCATACACTCTTGGAAGGCGTTGCGAGAACGGTCGATGTGGTTCAGATCCTGCGATGCTTCGCCCAGGTGCTCTAATTTCATTGACAGAAGCCCACTTTCTCGTTCGGATGGCGACCGGAACTGCAAGAGATCAATCGAACGCTGCATGGCTACAACAAGGGCTTCGGGATTGCACCGCGCTCTCCGCAGTTGTGAATATAGAGACCAGTATGCATTTGACAGTTTGATTAGGTACGCGCCGACGAGAGAAGTGTTCTCCTCTGCCGGAAGCGTACCACGTTCGATCTCTTCATCAAATCGGCGTACGATATGTGAGCATTCCTGAAGAATGGTATCAAGCTCTTGCCAT